ATATATTAATACGATAAATATTTATAATCTTTTTCCTGTTTTGAGAAACTATAAATATCAGTGTTTGCCTTGATTGGATAACAACCAGTAGGTACATCAACCTGGTCATTAACAAAGCAACATTCACTTTCAAAATTGCTTTTCAATGGGCACTTGCAATAAAAGATAAATCAGATGTGGCAGCGGCTTCTTTGGTAAAAAGCCATGTGTAAACAGCACATAAAGATGACAGGGCAAGCAGCAGTAGCCCATACTTCAGCCAAAAAAGGAAACAAACGAAGAAAGAACAAAAGTCACAGAAAAGAAAAACATCCCTGGTCCCCACCCCCAGAAGCTTGTGAACAGAAGCTGCCAGCACATTGCAACTCAGGCTGCCAGCAGCTTTCAAAGGGACATCAGAGCGACGGCCCTGCAGATGGGGATAAACTAACAACAGAGTTCAAGTGCTAGAGGAGGTGACTTAGAGTCCTTCATCTTCTCCACACAATGCTCCTCCCCGCATCACTTCCCTCCTGGTTCTGTCTTCCCTGTATGTAAAGCCTGTGCGCTGGAAGTAGCTCTAGTGCTCACTAGCGCCCCCATGAGACCCAGTCATGTTCAAGGGTCACTGCATATAAAGCTTGTGTCTGGGTAAATGAGCTAGCTGGCCTGGTCAAACATTTCCTCGTACCGTCATTTTATTAACTTGGTAAAATTGTTTCTAGGTTAAGAACACACAACACGGCCTTTCTTTCTCAACGAAGGCGGTGAAGCTCGCCAATAACAAGAATCCTTCAGTTTTGGCTTCAAACAGTTTTGACCTGGAACCTGTGAGGCATGGCTCTGAGCTAGCCTCTGCCTCCCCAAATGAAGTCTTTATGGTTTTCTAAATGGTACTGTTATTAGATTATCCCCGAATAGGTGACTGTAAAAGCAAACATCTTCAAAACCCATGCCTGATGCAAAATTTTAACTATTAGCTAATAGAAAATTTTGCTTTTGTACTGCACTCACCCGCACGAACTCCACAGATCACGTGAGAACCTCACACCTGGGCGGATCTGCAGAAGTCGGAGTGCTTAAGCAAATGTTAAAGGTTATGTGGAACACGGCTGAGAAAACAGAAACCTGGGGTGGTCAGTTTTACCTTGTTACACTGTGAAGGGTCAAGATAGACCAACGGAAGAGGAGAGGAAGAGGCCAGAAACAGCACAGACATTCCAGTCATTTACAATGGAACATTAAATTTGTGAGTAAGACTTCACAGAAACCTCATTTCCAAAACTTATTAAAGTCTCTCTCTTTTTTCTTTTAAGAGACAGGGGCTCACATGGGCCTTGACTTCACTGTGTAGACAAAACTGATCTGAGATTGCTGATTTCCCTGACTTCACCTCCCAAGTGCTGGGGTTACAGGTGTATGCCACCACTCCTGGTTTGATTAAAATCTTAATAAACACTTAAAAAAATTATACCCCAACTTGATGTCTAGAAAACAACAGCATATTGATTCCACAGAACTAGATACAACAGAAATTATTTTTAGATACTAGTGATCTGTAGCTCCTCTCCATGAAGAATAATCCTGCAGTAATGAAATGGTTTTCTGTGCTAACATTTTCAGCAAATTCTGAAAAGGAACGTGGCTTAGAGAGAGCACAACAGCACTTTTCTGTTATTTAGACAGAACCGCAGGTATACATACATTGTGCTGGTAAGCAGACCACTTCAAAGTGTGGATTGTTTGGTGCTTTTAGCCATCAACAGAGAAACACAGTGCGATTCAGAGCTGTGACACTGAGGTTTACCCAAGGTGAAGCGTGACAACGCGTCTACATTCCGTGTGAGAGGAATAAGCTCTCTTCACACCCACACACCCACACCCACTCCCCTCTTCCATCTCCAGTCTGATCAGAGTGGCAACACTGGATGGTTAATAACTACTAATTTATTCAGGGCTCTTAAAAAAACACAAAAGGCAAATCAGCATAATAAAATGCGACAATTGCACGTTACTGTGGCAGGTTAAATTAGTTAGAAAAAATTATTTTTAAAACCTGACACAAATAAGTCAAATGAACACAAAGTGATTTAGAACAATATTTTAAGGACTGAACACATGCAAATAGATGCCTCTGTATCAGGACTAAGCAAAATACAATTACTGGATGTGGGCGCTGACAGTATTTTCTAGGCAGGCATCGCGAGGCGATCAACTGAAGCACACGTTCCCCTTCCCTCCCATCTCTTTTGGGTCTGCCTGTGTCCAGTGTCACCAGCTCTAACTTCCAGCACAATCACTAGCAACCAGAAGCTGACTTGCAGTGAGAGCTATTCATCATAAATCTACACAGTAACTAAGTAATTAACGTGAGAAAAGCATCAGAGAAAATGTCCCTAAAGAGGATTTTTATAGCAGGTTTCTTTAGGCTTAATACCACTGGTAATGAATAAACTATTTAAGTAAGTATGAAAGCCAAAGGATCTTGGACAAGAAAACTGAAAGAAAAAGGGGTTTGGGGTTTATTAAACACTTCCAACAAAAAGTTACATAGGTCAAATTACAGGGAGCAAAGACTCTTAAAAGGACATTATTTTCTGCTAATTCACCAACAAACTACTACCCCCGATAGACTCCAAATCAGGGACTTCTCATCAAAAAGTATTTTGACAGCAATAATTAGAAAAGCAAATACGTCCCTTCAAGGGCTAATCGTAAATTTATGCAACTGTCTGAAACACAGAAGGGCACTAAGTGCTCAATGGGGTATCAGTTCACTTAAGGGGGCTTATTTTTGATTATGTGCACATGTGTAAGTGGGCGTGGCATTTGCAGAGCTTGCATTTGTGAGCATTGGGTTCCTCCTCGAGCTGGAGTCACAGGCAGGCACAACCACTTAACATGAGTGCTGGGAACTGAACTCAGGTCCTCTGGAGGGCAGGAAGCACTCGAAAGTGTTGAGCTATCTCTCCAGCCCTCGTTATGTTTTCTTTTTTTCCCCTTAAAGATTTATTTATTTATTTATTTATTATTAGGTGTACAGTGTTCTGCATGCATGTATGAGGGTGCCAGATCTCATTATAAATGGTTGAGGTTGCTGGAACTAGAACTCAGGATCTCTGGAAAAGCAGCCAGTGTTCTTAACCTCTTGAGTCATCTCTCCAGCCCCCCTTATTATGTTTTTAAAACCATGCTATGGTGGTTAGAATGAAAATGGTCCCTTTAGGCCCAAAGGGAGTGGCATTATTAGGAGGTGTGGCCTCAGTGGAGGAAGTTTGTCTCTCGAGCTGGCTTTGAGGTCTGGGACACTCAAGTCAGGCCCAGTCTCTCACTCTCTTTCTGCTGTCTGCCCATCCAGATGTAGAACTCTCAGCTACCTCTCAGTACCATGTCTGCATGCATGCCAACATGACAATAATGGACTAAACCTCTGACCTGTAAGCCAGTCCCAATTAAATGTTTCCTTATAAGAGCTGCTGTGGAGTCAGGTGGTGGCAGTGTACACCTTTAACCTCAGCACACAGGAGGACCTCTGTGAGCTCAAGGCCAACCTGGTCTACAGAAGTGAGCTCCAGGACAGCCAGAGCTACACAGAGAAACTCTGTCTCAAAAAAAGAAAAAAAAAAAAAAAGAAGACGACAAGAGTTAAAAAAAAAAAAGAGTTCCCATGATCACAATGTCTCTTCACAGCAATAGAAACCCTAAGATACAAGCTTATTACATAATTCTAGAATCTGGTTAAAGAGAAGGTGTACTTAGGAATTACTATTTCTTTATTTTATATGGGAAAACTGAGACAGATCCTTTAACCCCAAACAAAACAAAGAGGGTAGAGGGGTGTCAGCAAGTGTGCTCAGGCCTCTGTCAACATAGAGCATGCTGGAAGACGGGTCAGACACAGGCACGGTGGTGTCATGGACTTCATGTTCCAGGTAAGAGGCTCCTGATGCCAATTTCCAATTTCTAGCCACAAACAAAACAGTACCAAGGCAAAACAACAACAACAAAAATAACAGCTTTCTAGTCTGTGAGGGAAATCCAAAAACTAGTCCCTGATGACCAAATTCCAATCGATCTTTGTTTTAGTATGGCCATCAGCTAAGAATAGATTGTTTTTAAATGGGTAGGGAAAATATTTAGTGGCATAAAAATTGTACAGAAACCGACCTTCAGTGTCCAGTGAAATCTGACTGGTGTGCAGCCACACGGACTCCTGCTGTCGTATTCGTAACTTTCACTGTGCTATGGCAGAGCTGAGGAGCTGTGAGACCACACAGTCCGCAAAGCCTGGCACCCCTGGCACTCTACAGAGCAGCCTTGCCAACCACTCATCGACCTGATGTACAAAACTCGTGATAATGTGATAGTTTTTGTGGTTTTATAACATAAAAACATAAGGAAAATGTATCAGATTGAGGCCAGCAATGTATTTCAGATAAACACACACATTCCCTTTATGACATCATACTCCAAGATGAGCTTATCTATGTGAGCATGTACACCAGTCTTGACAACATATTCTGGAGTGAAAACAGTTAATTATTAGCTATGAGAAAGGATAACTAAACCAAATTACAGATGTTAACAAGAGACATCAATATTTACCATAGGGGCATCTAACTTGAGGTCCTTTAAGTAAGACAGGGACTACAGAAGGTTGATAAAGAAAAGGTGTGGTCTCTGGGCTCTGCCCTGGCTTTCTTGGCTCCCTGCATGTACTGATCAGGCATACAGTGATCAAATCTAGCTCAATACAAGAGTCCATGTAATTTATCCATTGCCATCTGCTATTAGTAATTTAGTTAACAAACTGATTATTTGTTATACACAAGGCAAGGTGGCACCTGGGTTACAAAGGTGACAGATGGCAAACAAAGATGAACAAACCAAGGGCTCACCTTTGACCCAGACAGTAACCCTCAAAGGGCAAGGACTAAGATTAACTCCACTAGAGAGTTCCCTTTAACAAGAATTTTCTTGTAGAGGCCAGACATTTCTTTCTCCTGTTTTTTGAAACAAAGTCTCCCTATGGTAACTAGTCTGGCCTCATCGGGCAACCCTGCTTCAGGCTCCTGAATGTCTGCATTACCGGCTCTGCACAACCGCACCCCACTCTTAATAAGAAATTCTTTACAATTCCTGCATTTGAAATCGATAAACTAAGCTGTGGAGAAACACCGTGACTTAATACAAGACTGACTTATACAAACTCTCGGCTGTCCAAAAAACGCGATCATCTATCTTGGGAGATACTGAGGCACAAGCTGCTAGGCTAGTTTCTAAACCTCTGAATGACAGTGCACCAGAGAGTCAAATGCTGGAGGGGAGGGGGCTGAATTAAGATCTTGTCAGACCCTAAAATCTGGAGATGCTATCTTTCTGCATCCTTGCACTGCACAGAAGAGTGCAGGGAGTACTCATGTCCCCTTCATTTCTCTTTCCCTTCCTCCTCCCACCACCCAGTTCTCTCTCCGTTTCTCACTGTCCTAGGGATCAAACCAGGGCCTCCTGAATGTTAAGCACACATTCTGTGATGAGCTAAGCCCCCTTTTCTTTAGAGACAGCAGAGAAGGAAACACGAGGCTGTTTGTTGATCTGGGGACCAGAAAACATAGCTGGGGTTCTACACCCTTTGCTCTTTTAAATCTTAGACTTAGCTGTTATTTCTCCCAAAGAGGACTTTAACTATGGTAAATGAAAGGACATGGTAACCACCTAGAATATCGGTCACAAAAGATGAGGAAAAATGTTTCAATAAGCTGCCATCTATTCACACAGTTAAACGATTATTAAAGTTACTTCATTTTTAGCCTCTATGTCTGACCTGTGGAAATAAGGTGCAGTGGCGGTAGGAATTTATCAAGTAAAACCCCCCTGAATTTAACCCCGGGAGATCACCGTCACCGTTGTCCTCTCCTAGTCTAACCCAAGTGCAGACCTTCACCACCACTCAGTTGCCTCCGCCTAGCCCAGCACCAGGGGGTTCTCCATCTGCAGCAGTGCATGGGGATCCTAAGGCGTGAGCGGTTGACAGTGGCAAGCAGGAGAGAGGCTCACTCATGCTACAGAGGGGTGCAGGGGAGGCGGCTGACGGAGTCCCACAGAGCAGACAAAACACTGGCTCGGGGGTCACAAACGATGGGGACGGGTAGTTAGGGTGCAATAAACAAGCGAGTATTCTATGTGGAGAACACTGTGAAGTTCAGGGTTGATCATCTGTATGAAGTGTAAAAGAGAAGGAGGGCAGCTGTGTAGATTCTGTGGAGCAACAGTGGGGCAGCAGTTCATTGTGGCTTTGTCCTTTCTAAATAAATGGCCACTGGGCGAAATGTAAGTATACATTCTTCTTGGTAGTAAACTCTAAAAACAACTGGATCTCGAAGGCATAGACTGCCCCGTGGGTTTATCCAGAGAAGTGACTTAAGAAGCCCTAAGTTCTTCGATGACAGTAGGATAGTTCCAGATTTTACCCTTGATCAACAGGCAGTCCCCTTCAAATTTTTGCTAACAATGTAAACAAAGTTGTAATACTTCATACTACAAATGCTAGCCATAAGCAAACAGCTGAAATACAGGTCTGAAATACAGAAGCTGGACTTATTCCCAAGCATGCTCTACTCGAAGAATACCATTTGAATTTATTGAGAGGCGGATAAATTTGGAACGGCATTTTTAACTTCACTAGTTTTAAGTGCTTGGTCAAATACCAACCAGAAGCAGACGGAAACAAACATGGATATTTGCTTACTTCCAGAAAGAAGACTCTCAAGAGGTTCGTATGTGATTGTCTTTTCCTTGAATTTTATCTTCCTAGCACATCAAAGACTGAGGACAGAACCGGCATCACTTCCTGAAACCTGCTGAGGTTCGTCCTCATGAGGTAGATTTAGGTAAGGAGCTAGCTGGAAATATGGGCACCAAATGGTTAAGTGACTCCCTTAAAAGTCACTCCTGAAATGACCCACAGGACAACAAGGCAAAAACCCCAGACTTTACACAGGTCAGTATAGATATCCTTAGTCCAAATTACTTCTGGATCTGCCATTAAGAAGCCGGTCCAGGGTAAAGGGATATCCAGCAATTGGAATGCCTGTGGTACTGAGAACGGAGTGAAGTGGGGGAAAGGAAGCAATGCTGTCTGCAGCCTCATGTTACAAATACTGGCAGCATTAACCTGAGATCACACAGGGCTGGAAGAGGACGCGTGTCCTGAGAACTATGACAGATCTATCTTTTGAGCCATGTTCGTCAGTTTTGTTCAATATAAGGGCTTGGCACCCTGCTCTTAGCAGCTTTACTAGGGAGAAACGGCTTCTTTGACAGCAAAGATCTCTAGGGATCCTTGCTATACTTCAGATCACAGAACAGCACCGTTGGCCCACACTAAATTTTTAATGGAGTTGAAATAATTCCAATATAAAAGGAAACAAAATTCAGGGTGATGTTTACAATAATTAATAAAAAGTTGTGTACAATGATGAAAACTGGAACTTTAGGAAATATAATTTGAAAGTTACAAAAGTACTGATAAAATTTTAAGATTATTTTTCTTTTAATTCCTAAAAAAAGACTTACAGTAACATAACCAACGCTAGTTTCATTTGTTATTTCATTAAGGAAATCTTAACATCTGTTTCATACTTAGGATTATCAGATCTCCCCGCAAAGCAGTTTTGCAGTACCTCAGGTGGCTTTGCAATCTTTTCTTATGAGTGAATCAATAAATATGCTTATTTACAAAATATCTGTTATAAATAGACATAACAACTTGTGACACAAACCATATATATTCAATTTTGTTTTGTTTTGTTTAAATCTAGCCTGGTCCTTGTTTCTTTCTCCAGTTTTTTTTTTAAACTCCAATAATGACAGTAATAGTGGTTTTCAGTAGATATCTGATAATCACGTCGTCTGTGAAGACATCCAATCAATACTAGTGAACACTGAAGAACAACAAAAACCTTGGTTTTGCTTTTTCTCTCTCTCTTCCTCCCGCCCCCTCCATCGTTTCAAAGGCAAAGCCATCTTTAGAAATAGTTCACTAACCAAAAGCACTAAGAAGTAATACAAAATATAACAGTCTCAACGCGACGACCCTAGCAACTCAGTCCAAAACGGAGTTTGCAAAGTTAACAATTTGTCCAGACTGAGGCGTTCAAACGCCACAGAAAGCAAGCGACATCATGCGAGGTTAATGGTAAGGTGAAAGCCCGCCAGTTTAGGCTTCCAAGCGGTGCTCTGAGGAGGGCGTGCTCACCGTTACTTCAGGGAAGCCTCATAATCAACATGCAAACTGCACGCATGTCACAACAGAAGCGTAGCTATCAAGGTGATTGATTAGAAACAATTGATTTCAACACATGTATGAGAACATGTCTGAAGTATAAGGAATTAACGTATCTTTTAAGCTTATTATAACAGCTAAACATAGCTCCTAACAATAATTACTTAAGCCATAAGGAAATAATAGTATTTTAATTTAGAGAAAAGTGTGTTTACATACAGATCTTGAGTTAATCTGTACTCCAGGACTTTAAAAGGTAGGTAGTCTGAAATTTTCAGCCCTGGCTGGAAGCCAAGGGACACCAGCACCATTTCCCTAAACTAAATCAACTCTACATATGAAAAGACAGCATTTAACCTCTGTGTGATTCTTCTGTACACCAGGTAGGATACAGTTGTCTCCTGTGCAGCTCATAAACACTGACAAAAAGGCTGCAGGTGTCACAGCCCCTTCCAGAAAAGGCCTTTGTATGCACGGATACAATACTCTAAGAAAAGGAGTGGTTATGGATTCTTGGATTCAAACTACCATTTTAAGGCTTTTGAAAGGTTGGGAAGTTGAATTTCTTCTTAAAACTACGGAGCCCATGCCACATAAATGGCTATATAAGACTGGGAAAATAGTTCATCCAATGTTTTTAGGGTTTCCCAGCCTCTGTGAAACAGTGGAAAGGAGGTCACAGCAATGGTCAACAGGAAGAGCATGCAGGGTAGCTTGTCGGTGAGTACCACCTGCCGTGCACCTCAGTCTGATTTGCCTAAGTGTATTGACTTTGGGGCAGGAACTCTGGCTTGGACAATCCATTGCTACTCCTTTTTTCTCACAAAGTGTGCTCTGCAAAGTTTTGCATTTTATTATTGACAGGAAACATGACCGCAAAAGGTCCCTGTAACAGTGAATGATCAAGACCAGAGGCATGATATAGGCAATTACACAGTTCAAGCCATAGACAAGAGTTCAATGGTTTTAGTCTTGACATGTCAGAGGAGCACCCTGTTTTCCAATCACAGAAAGATCAGCCACCAAACAGCCAGCGCTAGGACCAGGAGAAAAGACATCAGGAAAGGAGCACGAGGAGACGGGAAAGCAAGAGAGGAAAGGTGGCACTTTCTGACAGCCTTGTGTTCCTCGGGGATTGGAATAGAAACCTTGGGAGCAATCTCTTCATTTTCTTGCTGGGGCAAGTTTCTTTCAGTGGATCTCTCTGGCCTTTTAGTTCTATCTTCACCCTGTACTAACAGAGCACGCTCCTGTGTCTGCTTTCACGGTAGAAGATCAAGAAAGACAGAGAAAGATGAACAAAATGACAGATGGAAAACGTTTAAAAGTGACACTTGGGGATGTGCAAAGGTGTGGAAAGATCTCTGGGTGCTCTTGAATTTAGCTTCTCTTTACATTGGCAATTTACCTAGCAAATTCTATAACCCAGCAGGCTTAACTATGCAACTAAATTAAAATTTAATGTTTTGAATAAATTGGCATGGAAGCCTCAAAAGCTCAAATGGTCACTGACTTCCCTTCATTCTATCACTTATCCCCTCATCTGAGGTTACTCACACATTTCGTTTTGCTTTGTTTTTTCACTTATGGATTCCAGGTTGCTTTAAATTGCTTTAGTGCTGCAAATAATTACTGGATCAGGCAAGGTCAAGAGTGAAATATTCTTCTTGCCATGAGTAAAGTTACTTTTACTAACGAATAGAATGATAGAACATAAAGAACAATTTTCATATCTCTTCAAAAAGTCTTTAAATGCCAATAGCTCAGTATGAGAATTAGATTTTGCTCAGGGAAACAGAAGTAGTAAAGACTGTAAAATAAGAACAAAATGTATAAAGATTTATAATGTGCCTCCAGGGTCTACCCTGGGGTGGGGACGGGGTGGGGCAAAAAAGAACAAGAAAAGAAAGGAAAATGCATTCCCACAAGAGCTCAACAAATGCACAGACTCAAATAGTAATGATTATCATGAAGGATTATACACTTAGTCAATACTTCTGATAACTTTCAAGGAAAGATCCACCCCCAATTGGCCAACTGAGACTTTTCTCCCCCTGCATCTCTGTATTCTGCTATCTGTAGTCAAGGCAGATGGTATCTATGAAAGGAAGAACTTGGCTCTGAGTTCTCTTAGTTGAGCCAGCCTTCTCTGGTCAGTTTGGAAGTTGAATACTGGTTCTTTGCACACCCCTAAGTGATATGTATCAGGGAGAAAGTAGCTAGGGGACTGGTCAGCAAAAAGAATAAAAGAAAAAGGAAGGATGCAAAATCATAATGATTTTTAAACGAAAATAAGGTGGGAGAAGAAAGACAACATAAAAAGAATAGGGTATAATTAAATTCATTTTCTCTCTGAGTACATATTAACATCTTCATGCAGCTTTTTCAACCAGCCATGCGCCGAAACAAGCAAATTGAAAACTGCAGATGCTGCAGCAGTGGAAGTGTGACGTGTTAGGCCAAAGGCTGAGGGTGTGGATTTACTAGTGTAGCAAAAGAAAAACACTGTTCAGCCACTGCTGCTGAGTTCTGGGTTCTCTGCTTAGAGCCATGGCCAGGGCAGGGTCTAGTGAGCAGCGCAGCCACGGCAGCAGCTTTACCTCGGGCCCACCAACCTTTCTTCCCGAGGGGAGGGCAGACGTTCTCTTCACCTGGTCACACACAAATTATATGAGGTTCAGTTGCCTTGCCATGCAACAACGGTGCTGCCAAAGGTAGGAGAGGTGTCCCCAGAGAACAGAAATGCTGGCATGACCGCAGAAAGATATGCCCAACAGTAGAATTGTCCCAGTACAAAAGATTAAGACAGTACAGTCATTTATCCCATTGTTCATTCAGAGGGAATATTCATACGTGTATTAAGCTAAAATTATCTGAGTCCCTCTCAGGGATCAATTTGACTTTATAAGAAGTCATTTCTTTAAAGTTTACAGAATGGCACCACCATCCCCAAATTGGCCTTAGGATGATTTCTAAAGAGTTTCTATGTAAAGACATAAGCTATTTTCTGAAAATGGAGACCAATACAAATGGACCCAATCATATTTGAGCCATTATCAAGTTACTTTTTCAAGCTACTTTCAGAGTTCAAAACAGAACTAGAAAAATATGCAGGGGTGTGTGTGTGTGTGTGTGTGTAGGGGGTGAAAGACGAGATAGCAACAAGCCACTCGCATGCAGACACCAAAGTCAGCAAGGGCATTTAACACCATTCTATAAGCAGACCCAACAAGACAAACAGCTTGTTGAGAGCATTTCATGAAGCTTTGACTGGCCAGACCCTCTCAGTCAAATCAAATCACAACTATCCTTGGACCTTTATGATGAGTCTTATTTCTGAGGACACATCAAAATGACTTATCTGCTTTTCGGAGTGATGGTTTGACCCAGGAGGGGCTATTTTCCCAGTTTAAAGTGCATACTATAGACTTGGAACACAAAACTAATGGGCACGTATGCCTGGGAACAGGGTCTGAGAGGACAACGCATGGGCGCAGCTGTATCCCGCCACATGCAGCTGCCTGTTACTGAGGAGTCCTCCCACCCACCTGTGAAACTGTGAGCTAATTTTAATCTAAATTTGAAAAACACAAAAGGTTATCTTGGAAGAATTTTTAGCCCTGTCTGCAGCTACAGAAACTAAGTAATAAATAATTTAACTGGATAGGATACCAAGAAGCCTGAAAAAAATTAAACCAATTTGTGTTTTGTTTTGGGAAAGAGTCTTACTATGTTATCCAGGTCTACCTCAAAATCCTAAACTCAGGCACTCCTTCTGCCTCAACCTCACAAGGAGTGGGTCACAGGGGCAGGCCTGCTAAATCTCAGGTTTTTAATGGGGATACTAGTTTGACTTTCTCATCTAGAACTACTATTGTTGGGGGGTGCAAAGCGAGCATATAATTAAAAGATATATTAAAAGTCATGAAGTTATGGTCACTGCTTATACAAATGACATACTGGCTAGAGATGAAGACCTTTCAGATGTAAGTTCTACAAGATACCACCTTTAAACAGATTTATTTATTCTGAGGTAGGGATTCCAAAGCAGGAAAAAAAAATAATAATAGAGAACAGACTCTGAAAGGGACCTCTGGCCTCTTCTGATGGTAACTGTCTCGTAAAACAGCTGGTTGAAGGTCTGGTGTTATGCAAGACAAATCATCAGTTGTTTTTCTGAAATTGAGTGTTCTACATTCTCTGGCTTCAGGGCCTCCTTGTTTCTAATATAACTGTGAGCAATCATTCCAGACATTTCTAAGTTGTACAAATGTTCAAATAAAGTTTTTTTAAAAAAAATATACTCCCTTCCAATTGTGACCTTACTAAGTTTAGCTAACTGGTCCTGGAAGGCACATTTTGAATATAAACAAAGTTTTACTGGCATAAAGTCAATTTATAAACACAAACTTGCCAGAAGCAGGCAGCTTCAAGCAGTTCTCAGGGCCCAGACATCCACTAGTAACTCTAAAGGACTCCCACAACTGAACTGAGCTATGTAAATTATCAGGAGTGTTGTTACTAATGTTTCACAGCGCAGCGAGCTGCTAGGGCACCAAAGCCAATTCCAGCTCTAAGCTTCCAGATACAGAGTATTAACACACATAACTAACATATTTATTGCCTTCAGCCTCACAGTCATGTGGTCAAAGTACTTACTCCATCTCCAGTAGGGACTTGCCCATTGATGTTAAGAGTTCGGAAGGGTGAGTGTGTGGATAAGCGCTTGTCCCACTCGCTAGGCCGTGGTTCGGGTACCGATTCCATAAAGTTCTTTTTCAGCTCACTGATGCTGGCGTGATGCTTCTTGATTTCTTCTTGACTCTTGTCTAAATCCTACAGTCGGAAGAACAAAGACGGAAAACAATTTGGGACAAAACACACACCATGGTCAACCTATCAGAAACTGGGCACTGGTAGGAAACACCACATTCAGGGCAGATGGTACTGGCCCATGTTGCATTAGGGCCATAAATACACAACATTGTTTGCCTCTTTTCTTCTTTTGCTCTCTTTTTTAAAACCAAGTGCTGTACTTGGCAGCAGTGAAGCATCACAGTCCCACAGCTCTTGGAGGTTAAACTGCCCACAAAGAGCATGCTCCTTGATTGTGTAACTCCTCTTCCATAATAAAGGATGCAAAATCAGATCTCCACCTCCTCATCCTGGAAAGGTAACCCCATGATTCAGTTAGTTTCAGCTTGATAAGAACTAACTTAGGCTCAGCTCAGGCAGGATGGAGATAGCAACAGGAAAACTGATGAATGATGGACATGACAAATGACCTCAGCTTCCACCAGCTGCTGTCCGTGGCAAGCCGCAACACTGCAGAGTCCCTCTCTGTCCACTGCAGTACTTTGCTTCTCTATTACTAAGACTTTTCTAATTCAAGAATTTATTACTAAAATTCCTAGTTCCAGCCTCCAAAATCAATTGTTACTACCTCTTAAAAAAGTGACTTTGGAGATTTTTGAACTTGTGCATGTGTAAGTGCAGGTCAGAGGTGAACCTCAAGTACAAACACTGTCCACCTCTCTTGAGGCTGGGTCTCTCATTGGCCTGGAGCTTATCAGGGGCGAGGCTGGCAGGCCCTCGGGGGCCAGGGATGTTCCTGCGCCCACTCCCCGGCTCTGGGATTACAAGTATGCAACCCCATGCCCAGCACTTGTGCATGGGTTCTAGGCACTGAGCTTCGGTCCTCACACTTTACAATTAAATATATTTTTTCTTTTTCACATTTTCCCTACAATATAAAAATTTTATGTTTCCCCAGTTTCACTTCTCTTAATACAATTCAAAATAGGAACTTACTGGGGCTGGGGAGAGTGGCTCACTGCTAGAATGCCCTGGGTTTGATCGTCAACACCACCCACAAAAGGGTTTCTAATGACCATCAATAGCGTCTCATCTTTCTCCTTGATAATTTAAAATAATACACTAGAGGTACATGAAAAGCTCTTTAAGGTAACATACTAGGGAGAGATGGTCAAAACCAAGGCTAATAAAGCATAGGCTAAGACATATTCAGATTTTTCTTGTTAGAAAGAGATACGTAATATTTTTTTTTTTTTACAAAGGACATCAGATGAAAAGGAGTCTGATAAATTTAACTTGAAAACAAAGACTCAAATGCTCTTTGTCTAACAATACACATTTACTTACACACAGACACACACAAAAAGAAAACCTCAAAAGTTTGAGTTTCGGGTCACAATATCTGGGGCCTGAAGCTATAAAACAATCTTGTGTTCATTTCCCATCAGGGAAGCGCTGTATCTAAGAAAAGCACGATGCTAAATAATCTCCCCTCATGCTGTGTGAACTTTGGGATTCATCTATTTTTGGCACTGTGGGAAATAATTTCATTTTGGAAAAAAATAAAACAAAATAAAATATAACTTTTTTTTTGATCAACTTGTGTTTACAAGTTTGCTTTTTTCCCTCTTCAGGCAAAAAAGATCCTAACTAAAACATTCTCCAAACCACTATCAAGGAGAAAACAACAGTAACCCAGGAACTCCCGTGACATCTGGACTCTGGAGCAGCTGCTCCTTCAGAAGCTCATGAACCAGTCTCTTTTCTCTCTTTGTTTGCAAGACTGACCTGACCCGTGTGTGTGTGTGTGTGTGTGTGTGTGTGTGTGTGTGTGTGTGTGCTTTGAGCACAAAGAGAAGACTAACCCAATAGTAACTGTAGCTCCCCACAAGGAGCATCTCTTGCTTACTAAGAAAAAGCGTATCTTTGGAACATGAACTTCCCCGGGAAACGTCTGTGTTAGAGCTGACAGAGAGGAGGGTATCTTACGAGCTGAAGAAAACAGCATGGAGGAGCTCAGGACTCAGTCTTGGGCTGAGCAACCGACACCCATCAGGCTTGTGAGAGTGTGACCCAGCTCCTGACTGATAGGAAATCTGTTTTGGCCCAGAACAACATAACACATTTATGATGATTAAAAGCACAAACAAAGCAAAACAAAACCAACTAACAGATGCTGTGACAAGCACAATTCTGAGCCAGCCTGAGCTGAGCCCGCTGATTTGTAACTCTTCTTGCCTAGCTTTTGATTGGTTTGGATCCCGAGAAAAATAAATTTTTCAATAAAACTGATAACTTCTGAGGGAGCTTTCTCCATCCTTCTTAGCTGGCTTTGTTGAAAACCTGTGGGGGCACAGAATAAAATTAAGATCTCAAAGGGACCTGTTCCAAATAGAATTTGTCATAGACATTTGCTACAGGTTCTCTCTGGGAGCTGGAGGAGGAGGCGGTAGATCTAAAAATGAACTCGACCTTATTTGTGCCAGAACAAAGCATTAGTGCAGGTGTGATAAGAGAAGGCGGGAAGGGAGGCTTAAAAAAAAAAAAAAAACCCGTCAGATGGATAGATAACTTGAGAGAACTTTCTTGGGGGCACTTTTTACAATAATTAAGGAACGAGGGTCAAATTACGTCAGGTTATGTTCAGGTTAGGTAATTTTTGAGGGCTGTCATCTTATGATTTTAGCAGCAATAAAACCAAACACTTCGTTAGATGTAAAATGTTCTCAAAAGGCAGTTAGTAGTTTTAAATTCCAAACACACACTTATTCAGAAATCCCCTCCCAGGGCTCTCCAGAAGAAAAACAGCATAACACAGGAGTTTTGTGAGTCTCAGAAGCCACCACACACCTCGTGGAATGAATGACAAATATATGATTGGTGCAGCAGGTCCAGGGATGTGGGTACTGAGAGTGAGGACATGAGAAGAGGGGATCGCTGGACACGCCTTGTCCTTCCTAATCCCAAAGGCAACAGTTCCGGCCTCAGATATGGGCTAAGACAGAGACAGCCATTTTTCAAGTTTGTAATAAGAGTCTGGGATTATATGAGACAAATATACACAGAGCACTTGGCATTGTGTCCATCATTTAATATGCAATTAATAAAGGACATCCAGAATTTTTATTATTTGTATTAAAGTACCTTATAAGTACCTTACATAGCAGATATTCAAAATATAGTTATCAAAAAATATAAAAAAATAAAATTATATTAAATAATCTTTACACGCCATATTAGTAATGAGAAATCTATTTTCATATATGCCCAGGCTGTTTTTTTGTTGGTTTTTTGTTTTGTTTTGGTTTTGAGACCAGGTCTCATTTAGCCCAGACTGGCCTTATAATATAGAGAGAGCTGAGAATGACCTTGATTCCCTGATCTTCCTGTCTCAGCCCCTCAGGTGTGGGGATTAAAGGTGTCCTACCACGCCTAACCAGAGATCTAGTTTTTTAAAGTTTCTTCAAACTTTCAGATTGGAGATATTTAATACACGGTTTTTCTTCAGGTCGTAATTAAATGCTATCTCACTGGCTACACCAGCACACACCCGCAATGCCTTCAAAGGCTCCCTCCGTAGAGACGGTGCCTGCTTTAGAGTAGACCGCCTGTAGCACAGCACAGTCTTACCTCCTACAGTCCCCTTAACTGACTGTAGCTCTGCATTGTTCTTTGCTGTCTTTCCTCCGCCCCACTCAGATCCCCACACTGTGAGCTTCCTGCAAGCAGAGACCATGGTGGTTATTTCCTTCAGAGGGAAGTTAATCCCTGTGAGAGAAGAGTTCATACTCATTTCTTCTGGTTCTGCCTTGAGTTGTTATATTATATAGTCTTCCACTGCTATACACGAGTTTTCCTGACGGACGAATTATACCGGTCTCCCTTTCCTCCACAGAGAATGATTCCATTTCCTTAATTATCTCCAAACTGGCTTTACATCTCCTACCCAGCGTGCAGCTCCAGAACAGGTACGTCTGAGTATCTGAGCTGAGGTAAAAATCTGGTCTCTGCTGAACGTAATCGGAGACGGACCTTAGCACTCCTCTACGCTACTCTTTCTGAGAAGAAACCTGTTGTTAAAAATCATAAAACGCCTACGTCAAATCCCAGCTTTCCCAACTTACCAGCTCTGGGGCCACAGAGAAAGAAAGTACTGACATTTCCTGGCTTCAGTGCTTTCATCTTTTTTTTTTAAAAAAAAAATCCCACTCACAAGCTTGCTTTTACTGTTAAGCCAAAGGAACCACTCCTCAAAAACCGGGCTCTTTTCTTTGATATTTCTTTTTCCTTCCAACTTTCTTTAGTAATTTTTGTTGTCTCCAATGAGTAAGCCCTTACCAATCGTGATCACGTAGGTTCCCTCTCTTTTTGATACTCTTCTCAGTTCAGGAAAAAAGAAAAAAAAACCTGCAAATTTGTTTCTTGGGAAATTTAGAGTTTATATTCTTGGAAAATTAAAGAAACTTGATGTTTGAACGTTCTGAAAGGGGGTAAAACAGCAGACGGTGAGAGGGAGAGGCAGCTCCAATCATATATTTTTCTAGATCGTATGAGAGATGGAAACTAAGAGTTAGGAGAGGTGATTGCATGTTGTCATGTTTACCGGCATGCAAAAGCTCTGTAAACCTAGAAATCTCACATGCAGTGTCATGCAAAACCAAACGCAGCGTAGAATGCAGGGATCAGCAAAGAATGCAGAAGGTTCCAGGCAACCAACTGAAATAAGCTTCAAGTTCATACAAACCTCCAACATTAAATTGCTATGTCTGATATAAATGTTTTCACCATCTAGTCTCTCTCTCTTTTTCTGTGAAAATGAAAGGGGGAAAAAACAGAAGCATAAAAAATTAAAATGTTGTTCTTGCGGGGGAACAAACTGCAAATTGGCAAACAAACAAAAAAAAGCAGTTAAAAGTAAATGTCTGTGATGTAACATATGCCAACATGAGATGGTCACAGAACTGCACGGACACACAGAGAGCATGGTTACCAGAAAAGAATGGATGACTCGTTTGCAAACGATGGAAAGCGGTGATGATGTCATTTAAATAGACAGTGCTCCTGGCTTCACAGCTTCTAACAATTAGAGGCTTACTGTTTGTTTTTGAAATTGAACTATTTGAATATTACCCATATGCATATCTCAAAAGCTCTGAACACCATGTATCACGGAGTGGAGAAATGCTGTAAAAAGAACTTAGCTTGTTGGAGAGTTTTATACTTATGAATACTGCAATATCTGGATCTCTACAGTGTTCTGTATCCAATCAGGTAACAAGTATATCTGGGAAGAACTGGTTCATCTCACTTTGGGTTTGGGAAGTAGGTGCACAGCAGCTAAACCCATACTGTTAATGCAAGACGGTGCTGCTGTGGTGGCTCTAGTGATAAATGTGTATAAAACGCTAATGGGCCGAATAGTATGATGGCACTGGAAAAGTTCTGGTAGTGGCTGAACATGAAAGATAGGTCTGCCCGCCACGACTGCATTTTATTAAGACACTCCTCTGCTGAAAACTTACTTTCATAAAACCTGTCAACAGTCTCAGGTTCTAATGTGTAAATACACATCATAACTACACTGTTTGAAGGTTCTCCACATTCTGGCTCTCCAAAGTAATTCCTGATGAGGAAAATCAAGGGCTGGACCACTGTCTTTTTAACACACTGTCATCAGCACGGGTGAAATGGTGGCGTAGCTGTGGGAAAGCAGAAAATGGCTAACCTTCCTCATTTTTATCAGATCTTCAGCTTTTTCTGCAGGCTTCTGTTTTGGCCACAATTCAATACAGAAAAAAAAATAGACAAAATATTGGTTCATTGAAGTTTGTTTGAACCTTCTATTTATTTTCAATGAAAGAGGAATGGGGGAGAATTAAAAAACTGAGGGGTCTAAGGGGAAAGGCCTGTTGGCACAAACCTGTGTTTGGTCACCATTTGAGGTAGGTACTGTGACCTCGATGTGGGTTTTTTCCACCTACATTTAAGAAATAAAATAGTGAAACATTTCAGGTTAGCAGGCTTCCATGAATAGTTAAACAGCATCATGAAGCTGGGGGTTAAATATACTGAAAAATGATCACCACAGCAGGGAAGGTTTTATTCCCAGTGCAATCTGTTAGTTCATCATCATAGTGCCAAGGCTGAAGAGGTAATATGGACAGCCAAATTATAAAAAGAAAAACTGAGTTAATCATTCCAATGATGAAAAAGCATTTTAAATCTTATTTATATATAAAACTACCCACTAAAGCAATAATCTAGCCTTCATACTAAGCCATATGTTCTTGTTTATGACCTGGAAGTACTTTAATGAGAGCGTGTGTGTGTGTGTGTGTGTGTGTGTGTGTGTCAGCACTAGTGTGGACGTCAGTTTTTACCTTCTACCTTGCTTAAGACAGGGTCTCTCTTGTCCACTGAGGTGTGTGTCTTACCATATTGACTCTGCCTCCCTTCTCCGGTAGGGTGTTGAGATCACAGACACAAGTATTACTGCCTCTGGTTTCTTTCTTTTTCTTTTTTTTTTTTTAAATTCACATGAACTTTTTTACATAATTCATTTAACTTTATTTTTATGTGCACTGGTGTGAAGGTATCAGATGCCCTGGAACTGGAATTATAGACAGTCATGAGCTGTCATGTGGGTGCTGGGAATTGAACTCAGATCCTCTGGAAGAGCAGCCGGTGCTCTTAACCACTGTGCCATCTCTCCAGCGCCCGCCTCTGGCTTCTTACGAGGTCTCTGAGGATTTGAACTTAAGCAAACACCTCATCCACTGAGTCATCTTCCCAGCCCTAGAAGTACTTTAAATCATACTTAGGAACAGATTTCCAAATAAAGATATAAATGTATGTACACATGATATAAATAAATAGTTTTTATAGCTAAAACACATGTAAGACACTAAACAGGTACACGTAAAAGTCTGTTAATTAATCAATACATTTAAGGAGATGATTTTACTCTTCAGATTATCAATAAAGACAGCAGTGAAGTAAACTGCATACAAATTGTAACTGACGCATGCAACTACTGCCACCTCGGCTGCAGCACCCAACATTGCAGCCTCCTCTCTGGAAGCTGGAACCACGTGCTTGGCAGATGGGCAAGATTTATGCTTAGTAGTAGCAGAAAAATACTATCCCAGGGATGCCTGTGTGTCTTTGGAATACCTCTAGAAATAACCACCTTACATCCAGAAACTGGAGTAATTATTTTAAAACCTGACTGTGACGAGTACACAGTGAGTACTGCATGAAGCACCATGTATTTCAAATTTAGAAACCGAATTGTCTCTTCTAACGGTTAAATCATTTTGTTATATTACTCATTTTTTCACAGAACCTCATCACCTTGTGATTTTGGCACATTCTCTTAACTCATACAAAGCAGCGTTGCTCTAGAGAACAATGTCACTGTGCTATTTTCCCTAGGTTGAATATAAATAACCTCAGGTAACACTAGACTCTGCAATACTGCCAAACAAACCTATATATACATCTAACCATGACACCTTTAACTACAGAGTAATTCACAATTGGGTCATTCTGCTCTAGATCCCAGGGAACAAGTTAGTTCATTTGTCTGAGATTAACCTTAAGTAATAAAAGAAAGAAAACGTCTGTTTTCAGTTTGTTTGTTTGTTTTTGGGACAGAGTTTCACTATGTAACCTGGGCTGGCCTCCAACTCCATTTCCCAAGGCCTGGAATTACAGACATATGCCACCATGTCCAAATTAAAACAGATATAATGTCTTTATAGAATTATATACACTCTGCAAATATTAGTTTTAAGTTATTTCATAAACTTAAGTTCCATTTTTAAACAATAACGTCCTTCTGGGTTCTTAGTAACCTAGCAGCAGAAAACAGAGAGCCACTACTTCAGTATAAGAATTAAAGCTAATAGCTGGGAAGTGGTGGCACACACCTTTAATCTCAGCACTTGGGAGGCAGAGGCAGGCGGATCTCCGTGACTTTGAGGCCAGCCTGGTCTACAGACTGAATTCCAGGCCAGCCAGGGCTGTTACACAAAGAAACCCTGTCTTGAAAAAAACCAAAAAGAAAAAAAAATAGAAGAATTAAGACCAAAAGGAAGGGAGCGGGGGTACATATTATAGTGCCAGCTACCAGGGAGAATAAAGCAGAAGGCTCTCATGAGTGCAAGGGTTCAAGGCTAGTCTGGGAAACATAGACCGCCCATTTCATTCTGCCAAAGAGCCAAGAGTCAAATTAACCTATTTTTGAAGTACCTGCATGTTTTATGGGCAGAAGGACAACTAGTGAGATATCAGAAGACCAGGGGCGTCTCTACCATTCAGGAAGAGCCTCTGATAGCTTTAACCACCAACACAGTCAGAAGTGCTAGCTGATATATTCCAACATTAAAAACCACACAGGTATCCCAAGGCCACACAGAGCCTGAAGACTAACATCATGAACACCAGGCTGGTTACAAAGAAGCAAATACCCACCATTCATTCACTCAAAGACAGAGAACCTGACTGCCATATTTAACAGTTAAAAAAAAAAAAAACAGCTGCCCACCATTCTATGTTAAATAAGATATTAATCTGGCTCCAAAAGAACAGGTCTGATGTTATCAGTATGCAAAAGAGAAGGCACTTTTCCTAAGGCCTTAACATAAAATTTCTTTTCTTTCTTTCTTCCTTTCTTTCTTCCTTTCTTCCTTCCTTCCTTCCTTCCTTCCTTCCTTCCTTCCTTCCTTTCTTTCTTTCATTTTATTTTTTGAGACAGAGTTTCTCTATTTAACAGCCCTGGCTGTCCTGGAACTCACTGCATAGATCAGGCTGGCCTTGTACTCATAGAGATCCACTGGCCTCTGCCTCCGAGTGTTGGGATTAAAGGTGCGTGCTGTAGGGAGGGATGTGCATGCCATTCTTATGAAGTCCATTCCTCACAGTCCCTTCACGAGGGAGACCTGCATCTACTTTTACAGACCTAAGCTAGCACTGTGCAAACATTATTTTCAAGGCTTGAACATATAAAAATGATCAACCCAGTTACGGTTTCTGGGAGATCTGCTAACTGGTGATTTTTCAGCTCAGTGCAGGGACTGTGGGTCCTCTATGCGCAGATCTTCTTTGTAGCTAGCTGTGTGCTGTCTGAAGAGCTGGGCTGGAGACGGCTCAGCAGTTAAGAGCACTGGCTGCTTTTGCAGAGCACCTGGGTTTGAGTCTCAGTACCTATATAGTAGCTCACACTGCAACTCTAGCTCCAGGGATCCAATGCCCTCTTCTGACCTCTGAGGGCACCAGGCATGCACATGGTGCACACACATAAATGCAAGCAAAACATCATTCATACACAGAAAATAAAAAATCATCCTAAAATTTTTAGAGAAGATTTAAATAGCTATATAAATGTGCTTTATGCAGTATTTATTCTTTGGAAATCAAATTCTATAAAAATATACAAGATGCTGGTAAGAAACAATTTCTTTTAGAAACAATGAGAAAAAGCAACTTTGTTGGGAATCTGCAGGATTCAGTTGCTCTGAAAGATGCATTAGCTGATGTAAGGGACCTAAGACATACCTTCCATGCTTCTGTGGGCTCTGGCTCAGCTTGCTCAGGTGTTTCTTCTTCCCCTTTCACTTCAACCTTTGCAGCTTCCTTCTGTGTTTTTTTAACAGGTGCCCCTGGCCCTTCTGTGACCTGACTCTGAGCAATGGCTGGTGCAGAGGTGGGCCGAGGACTTCGGTCTGTGGGTTCAGCAGCTGCTGCTATGTGAGAAAAAGAAGGAAGAATAGTTGAAGGCACCTGTCACTGTCCTGACCTTCAGTCACAGGGTGAAACTGAGAATTCTGTAGTTATCATATAGAAAGAAAGCATTAGTGCTCAAGGTAGCTTATGGCAACAAAAAAAGGCTTCCTCAACAGAGAAACTAGGACATCTTAATGACTACTTCATAAATGCTGAATTTGGGGGCAGAATGAAGAAAGGAAGCAAAACCAAAGTGTGGATTCAGAATGGCTCTCGCGTTAAGCCTTTTTGAAATAAGTATCTGTTTATTTTTAGATGGTCTCAGGAACCTAAGCATCTAATGTAAGGGGGAAAATGAAGTCTGTTTATTTATTTTTGTTTTGTTGTTTTCTGTGAAATCTCTGCAGAATGATTACAAAATAACTTGATAAATGGCCCTTCCGATAAGACTAGGAACACTACTACTGTTTGATGTGTGTGCAGGCAAATCTTTGAGCCAGACATTCTCCTTTAATAAACCATCTGATTAACATTAATTCAAAAACTTCTTTCATTCAAAATAAAGAATAAACTAATCGAGCCCCCCCACCCCACCTTACCAATGTCTTACAGCCTGTTCTCCAAAGTATTAGAACACTGGCTCTCAACCAGGACTTACTTTTCCCCAAAGCACATCTGACAATGTTGGAGAAGAGAGAGGAGGTGCTGACATCTAGTGCAGAGAGACAAAGGGTGCTGAGGCTGAGAAACCCTAGTTAGGGGAGAAGCCTGTCTAGATCACTTCGGAGAGAATAAACGATACAGGCTGACAATAAAAACTTCGGCACATAATTAACTGCTTCATGGGTTTGAACTATTTGGCGTCTATACATAAGATAACTTAATTCAAAACAGGGATTGGGACTACAGCTCAGTAATAGACTGCTTGCCTAGCAGCAGGATGGCCTGTGTGCCACCCCCAACTGCACAAAATAAATCAAAAAACGGTCATTATTTTTAATTTTTAATCTTCATTTTTTTTCTTTTAGGGTTTAAATGAAAATACTCATAAATTTTGTCATAAACCTTACTAATTAGACACTACCTAAGAAAGTAAGCTTTTAAAAATGATTTATTTTGTTTGTTTTTTTGTTTGAGGGTCTTCTCTCCATAGACCTGGTTGTTCTGGAACTCAATATGTAGACCAGGTTAGCATTGATCTCTCAGAGATCTGCCTGCCTCTGCCTCCTGAGTGCTGGGACTAAAGGTGTGTGCTATCACACCGAGCTTTAACATGCCAATTAAAATTGTGTTTAATTTCGATTACCAGTGTGTCTGTGGGCATGGGTGTACAAGTGTGTGGAGGTCTGAGCATAACTCTGGACATCGATTCTTTCCTTCCACTTTGGGATCAGGGACTGAACCCAGGCTGCCAGGCTTGCATGCTAAGTGCTTTTACCCACTGAGCCGTTTCAACGGCTCTGACTTAATATTCCAGATAATGGACCATCATCCTTTCTTGTACTGAGACTTTAACATTAACTTTCATTGAAACCTCACAATTTTATCATGTTCTTTCCTTCCTCTTCAGACTGCTGAACAATTTATTCTGATACATTCAGATTCATAAACTTTAAAAATGAAGCAAAACGAAGGCATTCTTTTAGCTAGAACAGACTGAAAAACGGAAAGCTACACCTATCTTACACATATGACACCGAGAGAGAGAGATGTTTATTATCCCGAAATGATCTCCAGAGACAGAATTCCTCAGACGACGCCTAGCAGGAGAACAGCAGAGACACAGAGCCAGTTTCATCTTGCAATGACAGATCTGTGGCCACTTGCAAGTCCCTGTTGCTAATGCGTGCTCTCAGCTAGTCAAGGCAAGAGTGGCAGATGGCAAAGCAAACCTAACAAAACAAGGGAAATGACAAAATATTTGCCTCACAGTTGTGTTAAAGCCTCCTATTACATGTGTATTCACACCTCCTCCCAAAGAATTAATTCAACCCCGCCGGGAATCACAGAAGCACAGCCCTTGCTTGCACCGTGTGCTATTTTGCCACATGAATTTGGTTCTAATCCAATACTAATACTGCAGAGCCAAGTGATTTATGTCTTCAGCATATATACAGTGTATAGGAAAGCAGACGCAGATACAAAGACCGATGGTCAGGCACAGAGGTGGCGGCAGGTCAGAAACTGGAAAACACCGGTTGCAGTGGCTGTCCCTCACTAAGAAAACACCGGCTGCAGTGGCTGTCCCTCACTAAGAAAACACCGGCTGCAGTGGCTGTCCCTCACTAAGACTGGAAAACACCGGCTGCAGTGGCTGTCCCTCACTAAGACTGGAAAACACCGGTTGCAGTGGCTGTCCCTCACTAAAAAAACACCGGTTGCAGTGGCTGTCCCTCACTAAGAAAAGCAACAAGAAACAGGCAAGGTCCAAACCCTGACCGGCACATGTGAACCTAGTCACCCACAGTGGTCCTAGGAAAAGAGACTCGAGTTTCCTCGCCTGTGGAATGTGGAAGATACTAACTGTAGGAGAGTTGGGAAGAGAATACACCAAAGATAAAAAAAATATTTTAGGAGTTCTAAATATCAGTAACTTTTAACATCGTACTTCAGTCCTTATATTTATTTTTTACAGGCTAGTATTATTAATTTTGCCCAGAACATGAAAGATACCACTTAGGAGCCCTGAAGAAAGGCAGATTTTCTTCATTTTCGCAGTAAGGACACTGCAAACTATAGATCACAATAAATATGGTAGGGATTTGTTTTCTAAAAGAAAAAAAAACCCAGCTTTCTTGGGATATAATTTACATTTTGTACAATTTGCTCATTTAAAGTATAATTAAACATTTATTAGTATGTTAGTGATTACTTTTTAGGATGCTTGGGCTGCAGAGGCGACTCATCTGGTGGTAATATGCTTGTGGTGCAAGCATAAGGACCTGATTCAGATCCTCGGCACCACGCGCCAGCTAAGCACAATCTGTGAACTTGGCCCTGGGTGGGGGACCAGCTCCCTGGAGCTTACTGACCAGACAACCTATCCAACTGGGGAGCTCCAGGTTCAGTGAGTGACCCCGTCTCAAAATAAAGGTGGAGTATGAGTGTGGAGGGCACTGGTGTCATCCTCTGGCCTCCACGTGCACTGTGCAACACAGCTACTGCAGCACACACTTCAATTCAGGGATAAAACATAGCTCAATGGCAGAGCACTTGAGAAGCATGCCTAAGGTTCTGGGTTTGATCCTCTGCACCAAAAAAAAAAAAAAAAAAGATAAACAATAACTGGCTTTGAGCCATTATTACTTCATTTTAGCTATTAATTCTGGAGTCTGTATAGAGAACACTTAACTTTAAAAAGTCAATGTCTTCCATTTCTAAGATTTCAGTTGTCAGTCCACTGATGGCTGACAAGAACAGAAGCAGACCTGGATGAAGTGCCATTATTTTCTAATTATGTGTATTGGTGTGTGTGTGTGTGTGTGTGTGTGTGTGTGTGTGTGTGTGTGTGTGAGTGGTGGGGTGTGTTCACATGAGTGCAGGTACCTACAGAGTCCAGAAAAGTTTGGAATCCTCTGGAGCTAGTGTTAGAGGCAGTTGTGAGCTGCCTGATGTGGGGGCTGGAAATTGAACTCAGATTCTCTGTAATAGCTCCGCATGCTCTTAACCACCACGACATCACTCCAGTCCTAACCTTTTTTCTGATTTTTGAGACAGAGTTTCTCTGTGTAACAGCCCTGGCTGTTACTTTTTTGTCACCATAGCAGCTGCACCTGAATCTATTGGCCCTAACACCCTCTTCTGACATCCAAGGGCACCCACACACAAACACATATGTACATAACTGAAAATAAAATAAATCTTATTTTTAAAGCACACATCTCAGAGGACAGTCCTGGCTTCTGTTTCTACTTCCAAATAGTTTTCTGACTTTGGTGAATTGCTTAAATTTTAAAGCTAAGAAAGAATGATAAATACCAGTAGACAACTATCTGAAGAAATCAGGGGAAAAAAAAGGATTCAATAAAAGTATAAAGTTTCAGGGCAGTGGTGGTGCATGGCTTTCATCGCAGCACTCGGGAGGCAGAGGCAGGAGGATCTCTGAGTTTGAGGCAGCCTGGCCTACAGAGTGAGTTCCAGGACAGCCAGGACTACACAAAAAGTCCTATCTTGAAAAACAAAAAGAAAAAAAGGAAAGATATGAGTTGGGGTGACTTAAAATAAAATACATAACAGGAAAAAAACCCACTTAGTTCTAGTTAAGTGGTAAAGCATTTGACTGCAGAAAAATACAGGCAATCAATACATGTGGTTTCTGTAAATAAAGTTTTCTAATTTGTTTAAATTAGACCAAAGACCATAGCACTTGAATTTTTAATTTTGGCCATGTGAAAGAAATGTCACACCGGGTTCAGTGTCTATGTACCTCTGAAATGTCCCGTGGTGGGAAGGCCATGATAAGTGCTGTCAGACAGACCTGGTGTCTCGTCCACACTCTGTGCATGTCTCAGCAAGGCACAGAGACCTTCCACCATCGATTTTCATAATGAAAAATAGCTTTGAAATCTCACTCCTCACAGGGAAGTTCAACTGGAGGTCGGGGGCCTGTTGGGTCAGGAACGAGCTCTCTGGTAGTAGCACAAGAACACACAAAGGTATGGAGAATGAGCGAAAACACAAATGGAAACCTCACCTCTCTCCATCCCAGACGCTGCCCCCTTCTGCAGTCCCTTCTTCCACTAACTGATCAAACACAGGAATAAAACCTGATTTTCTCTTCCTTGCCACTTCCAATACTTAACTTATTAGCAGTGCTGTCAGCCCTACTTCCAAAACGAATCTCTACCTGCCTTCCACTGCGGTGGACAACACCTAAGCAAGCTGTCACCATCTCTCACCCATGTTCCTCTCCCCTAAATTACTAGAATTTACACCTGTGCTGTTCAGACAATTGTCACACGTAGTTTTTGATTTTTTTCTTAACTGAAAGCTCAGCTCCTTGGCAGCAGCCACATTTCATGCTCTTAACAATCACACACGGTGATTCTGCATCAGCATAACAACACTTTCCTCTGGCACAGAAAGGTCTAGGGACACAAGCTCATCCTTCCCTTCAGGAATACGCACTTGCTACTCTTTCGTCTGGAGCGTTTCATCCAGGCTTTGGGATTGCTAGTTACTTCTCATAGTTCACGTTCTTCTGGGGAACCTTCTGAATTTAACAGGATTACCTAATCTGAAACAACTCCTCCATGTCCCCACCTGGAGACATTTTGCACCTCGTTTTCCCACTCCGGTCTCTACCTGTTTTACTTGTTTCTGTTTCGACCTATGGGATGAAAATTCCATGAAGACAGAGGCCATGTTTGATACCCACAGCAGTATCTCCAGGGAATACTAAGCACACAGGAAGTGAAAAATAAGAGATTGAACAAAGTAAAAATGAGTTAAATACTTACATAAGTCTATTGGTATTCATTCACTGCTGCCCTGCAGTGAAACTTCAGCTCACATTTTCTTGAGATGGCTTTCTTAACTCAGTTGTTGGGCTTTTTGTTTGTGTGCTTTTGAGACAGGGTCTCACTACATGGCCCTGGCTGGCCTGGAACTCACTGTGCAGACCAGGCTGGCACAGAGATCCACCTGCTTCTGCCTCCAGGTGCTGGGAGTGCTAAGTAAAGGCGCACAGCATCAGCCCCGCGCGTGGTTTTTAGGTCTGAATTAGACAGTAACATCGCTATCACTTTACCACCGAGGTTCTTTGTAAACCAGAGACAGTTAGATTCTCTTATAAAGAACCAGACTTCCCAGTTGGGCATGGTGGCTCGTGTGTAATTCCAGCACTCAGGAGGTCAGGACAGGAGGCTAAGGAACTCGAGGTCAGCCTGAGATACAGAAAGTGCTTGTCTCAAAGCCATACAAAACCAAAACCAGCCGAACAAAAACCCCTTATACTTCCTTTCTCTTTCTCCAAGGGTCTCAATACTATCTAATACAAACCTCCATCAAGGCTCCTGGAGGCCCGTTTGCTTGCTGTCCGCTCAAAGTGCGGGGCGGGCCTGTCAATCAGAGCACTGGCTTGTCTGGTCTGCGCCTGAGTCCGGCCACTGTATCGAAATTTAGAACCCAGGGCAAGAAATTTACTTTTGGGAATGGTGTCTGTAGAAGTCAGTCTGGGAGAGAAAAAAGATCATAATAATTGTGTTATTTTAATTTTATCACTGTGACTATAAAACTAAATATCAACAAAATTCTTGTGGTTAAGAGATTTCTAGTCAAGCAATACTTATTGTAAATGTATGCCATATCTCAAACAACCAGAATAAGTTTAGTAGGGAACTATATTAAAAGACTGTTAAGCCTCTATAGATAAGATTTTATGATTTTCAAAATGGCTGATAGCACTGTAGGATTTACACTACATCCCTGAAATGTTTTCATCATTTTACAGACACAGGATATTGAAACATCCCAGAAAGAAGTTCCTTGCTTAAGGCTACAAAGCTATTAGGAGGCTGGACTGTAACAGCCCAAGCCCAGGACCGAGTTCAGCTGCTGTGAAAGCAACGAGAGCCCCTAGTAAGCACCAGTTCTCAGCCTCACTTCGGCTGTCCTTTTATGGTGCATGGAAAGGTGCTGTGGGAATGCTGAGGCATGCTCTGCAACCAAAGAGGGGCAGCTAGATTCACTTTCCTAGGTTAGTTTCCTTGGCTCCCTCTCACCTGAGCTAAATAAAATGGCAGCCCCACAGAGAAGACAATTTTGACAGCAGGCTATGAATAATAAATGTGCACAAATAACGCGTCCTTGAGAACCGCTGGAGTGAGGACCATACCTGAAAAACGTGTGATGCTCCACACAGACTTTCCATAATTTCTTAGCTGCTCGGTAACTGGGAAGCTTGAAGCCAATGGTACTTTCATACTGTTCTTGCTATAAAGATACAAATATACACAGAACATAAGTATTATCTGATGACAGTGATACAGAGCCAGAAAAATATGATATCACCAAAGAGATATTTTTAAATAAAAAGAATGTCTTCAGGTTGGAGAGATGGCTTAGTGGTTCCAGAGGATTGAGGTTCCATTTCCAGAACCCACATGGTGGCTCACAACCAACTGTTGCTCCATACCCCGGGGATCTAACACCCTCTTCTGACCTCCGTGGGTACTAAGCATACATGTGGTGCATAGACATACATGCATGCAAAACATCCATACACAATATTCTCAAAAATTAAAAAAAAATACACTAAATTTTTTTCTAACTAAAAGAAATCTGCTCAGTGTGGGAGACTTTTTCTAAAGCAAAAAGGGCAGGAAATAAGTCTTCTATTACTTATGCATCTTTTTTGTTTTTTAGAACACAGAACACAGGGGTTCTTGTGAGACACACTTCATTCAGCTTTTCTTCTGGCTGTTAGAACTGCTTTTCCTCAGGCACACACCTGCACCTGTAACTTCAAATTACTCAATAATCAGAGAACAAAATGTCCAGTCATTTCTCCAGCCAGTCAATATTATTATGCAACAGGAATTAGTAAGGGGAGCTAAACATTTGTCTCAAACCAGATTACTTTTTTATTTTCTTTTTTCTTTTTAAGGAAGGGTCTCACTATGTAGCCCTCACTGGCCTGCCTATAAAATCAGAGCTAGTGCACCCTCAGCAGTTTTCAAGGACACACTCATGTATAACCTACAGTCACCACATTTTGCAGTAAGTCTCTGACACTTAGTTCCTTGTTCTTGGATAGCTACAAGTTTTCTTTTCCCATTTTTTAAAAATTCATTTTTATTTTATTGGTGTTTTGCCTGTATGTATGTCTCTGTGAGGTTGTTGGAGCCTGGAGTTACAGACAGTTGTGAGCTGCCATGTGGGTGCTGGGAATTGAACTTGGGTCCCCTGGAAGGGCAGTCAGCGCTCTTAACCACCGAACCATCTCTCTAGCCCCTTCTTTACTGACCTGTAAGTGCCTTTCAGACTGGTACTGCAACGGCTACTTCGAACACATGCTTTTGGTCTAACCTGTTTCCACCTCAAGCCCACTTTGTAAGGTGGAAAGGAAGCAGGCTTCTTTTGAGTGAGCTACTGCCAGCAACAGTATGAGTAGACACTACAGCTATAACCTCATACATGAAGAAGCTGTGCTCTAGAAGCTATCTGCTCACTCAGCTACAAAATGGTGCAGACCTCTGCTGGAGTCATGGCACTCCACTTCTCAGAATCCTGCTGTTCTCAGCTGCTTCGAGAAAGAATTAAGCATTTTACTATATAATGGACATTTGAGACTTCAATGCCAAGGATTTCCCACAACATTTATCAATATTTCTACACATGTATGCTTTTCTCCTTTTCTACATTAAAATGCAAGCTGGTTGAAGAATGGCATCTTTTTACTTACTGTTATATTTAGAGCCCCTAGAATAGTCATTGTCACAAACAAAACTGTTTAATAAACATTTCTTGGTTAGCTGGGCACGGTGGCACATGCCTTTTAATGACAGCACTGGCAGATAGGACAATCAGATCCTGCAGGTTCCAGGCCTGCTGGGTCTACACAGTCAGACACTGTCTCGAAAAATTCTTTGTTGTTACGACTCCTGGATTTTAACTGAGGAAAGACACTGATAGGCGCTTGCACAAGTAAATGATTATGGTATGAAACAGTTCTTCAAGGCACATCCAGAATGTCCAGGTTGAGACAGTACCACTTTTCACCAGCAGATGGTGATATACACACACAAAGCCATCGTCCATAAGCACAGGCCTTCTCTGCCTAGAGCTCCCCAATCATCTCATTCCATCTTCAAGTGGACTGGAACAGAAAAGTTATTATCCTTCTTGAATATAAGGAAGCTCAGCTTCCGAGTCTTTTGTCTAGGAAGTCACAGAAAATAAAGAACTCAGGGGTTAGGACAGATACTGCTCTTGCACAGGACCCAAGTTCCGTTCCCAGCATCCATGTCTGGTGGCTCACAATTGCCTGTAGCTCTGGCTCCAGGGGGATCCAGTGTCTCTGGCCTCCGGGGGCACCTACATTCATGTGTACATGTCCATACACATATCCTTCCCACATACATGCTTAAATTAAATAAATCTCCAGGACAGTCAGAGAAACAGAGATCCTGTGTAAAAACAAAACAACCTGTTGTACCACCATAGTACTTCAATATAAAAGCTAAATCGATGGGTATAAAATGAAATTTGACCACCAGTTACTGAGTTTTGGTTATTGTTGTTTTGTTTTGTTTTCTAGGTGTTAAAGACAGTTCTTGTGTGTACGGACTTGGAAGTTCTGACCATCTTTTCTTATAGTGATATTTTATTTATGTTTTAATAAATAAAGCTTGCCTGAATATCAGAAGGGCAAAGCTAAGTCACTAGAGGTCAGGCAGTGGTGGCACACATCTTTAATCCCAAGTTTTGGGAGATAGAGGCAGATGGATCTCTGTGAGCTCAAGGCCACCCTGAGCTACACAAGATCAATGCAGAAACAAATCCACATGGTGATGGCTCACACCTTTAAGCCCAGCACTAGAGGGAATATAAAATGGAAGGAGAGAGAGAGGCTCTGTCTGTTTAGTCTGCTTTTACTGCAGTCGCCTAGCCTTGGTAGAGGTAAGACTTCTCTAGTGGCTTGGCTGCTTTGTTTTTCTGGTTTTTGGGTTGAATGCCAATATCTAGCTCTGGGTTTTTATTATTTTTGCTACATTTCCCCCATTTTACAAGTGCTAGATTAGCTGAATGAGAACTTCTTAAATGACATCATGGGAAATGGGAAGAGGAATGTCTGAGTCATTCATTTACTGCTTTTCTTTCAAGACAGGGTTCCTCTGTGTAGCCCTGGCTGTCCCTGGAACTCACTCTGTAGACCAGACTGGCCTTGAACTCGCTGAGATCGGCCTGCCTCTGCCTCCCGAGTGCTGGGATAATAGGCGTGCACCACCACTGCCCGGTGTTTCATTCATTCATGCTTAAGACAAGGTCTTCCGAATAACTCAAACCCAACCTGATTTTGCAGTTTTCCTCCTGCTTCAGCCTCCAGGATTACACGTAGAGGGATTGCAAGCATTTGCCAATTATGCCCAGCTAGAAGGGATGTTTCAGTCTACATTTGGTTTGGGAGAAAAGGAACTTAAGTTGTGTACCTCTCCGGGTCGGATCTTGATGAAGAAGCTGCTACGTTTGTAAGAAATCTTCAGCACTTTGGGCCAAGGAAAACGGTTAATTCTCAACTTATCTTTGTAAACCAAAAGGCCACTAGAGCAGACTCCTAGGATGATATCCACTCCCTCCAAGTCCTGAAACAGAGAAGTATCAGATTTCACTTGAGTGAAGTGTTCAACACATTATTGCCTATTATTAAACAATCTGAGGAGATCAGCAACCCAAAACAGCTACAAAGCATACAATAAAAACAAAACTTAAGACGGGTGGTGGTGGCCCACAACTTTAATCCCAGCACTCAAAAGGGAGAGGAAGGAGGATCTCTGTGAGTTTGAGGCCAGCCTGGTCTATAGACCGAGCTCTTGGACAGCCAGGGCTACACAGAGAAACCCTATCTTGAAAAAAACAAACAAACAAAAAACTTAAATAGTCATCATCCACTGGAGTATTATGTTTCAGAAGACAACTTCAGTGATCTTACTGGCATCATGGTAAGAGTCATCACTCTTAGGCCAGCGGTTTGTCACCAAGCCTGACAACCTGAGCGCAATCCCCAGAGTCTCTATGGTAGAGTGGAAAACTTCTACATTGTCCTCTGGCCCACACACACCCACTGTGACGTGTGCGTGCTTATTACTGTAGAAAGTTAGCAAAGAGATCTGACAGTAAAAAAACTTGATGCTAAGTATATTGAATTATAAATACTGTCCCTAAGCCTAGAAAGAATACTAAAGCACTATATCAATGTACCTAGTTACTGAGAAAAAAGTTAAAAAATATTAAACACATAATTCAAATAAAATAATCTGCACCTGAATTAATTATATGATTATTTATCTAGTTAAGTAATCAAACCCAAAGTTAAATGCTTCCCGACTACTTTTCCTAAAATGAGTACAGAGGAAAATTGTAATTACCTAAGTGTGTTAAAAGAATTACGCAGATAAAGAAATCCAGCTTCAATTCCAAGACCATGTAGCTGAGAATGCTTTTTTGTTTTGTTTTGTGTTTTTATTTTTGTTGTTATTGTTGTTGTTGTTTTGTTTGAGACAGGGTTTCACTGTAGCTTTTTGGAGCCTGTCGTGGAACTAGCTCTTGTAGACCAAGCTGACCTCAAACTCACAGAGATCCTCCTGCCTCTGCCTCCCGAGTGCTGGAATTAAAGGCGTGCGCCGCCACCACCACTTGGTACCCTCTCACGTTTTTAAACGTGGTTACAACTATCTTTCTTTTCTTAAATTTCTTTTAAAGGGCTGGAGAGATGGCTCAGTGGTTAAAAGCACTCACTGACTGTTTCCCCAGAGGACCCGGGTTCAATTCCCGGTGCCCACACGGCAGCTCACAACTGCCTGTAACTCTTATTCTAGGGGATCTGACACACTCATATAGGCATACATGCAGGCAAAACACCAACAAACATACAAATTTTAAAAATTTAAACACAATTAATTAATTATGGGTGGGCCCAGACCTGCCACCATGAAAGCACTTGTTGGGGTGAGAGGACAACTTGCTGGGGCTGGCTGTCTTCTTCCACCTGTGGGTCTCGGGGCTCAAAAAGCTCACCCGGCTTGGCACCAGGTGCCTTTACCCACTGAACCAGTTTGTTAGCTTTCTTCCTCTTTTGATGACATTACTGGGAGGAACATTGCTTTGTGACATTTTGAAAGGGCACACGTTACCTGACTCCATGCACTCCTGACGCCAGCCTCCATTAGGAAATGAGAAGTGAAACCTAGCAGATTTCGGCTGACACACAGGTCCTAACAGCACTCTCCAGGGGCATGGGAGGCAAGGTGCCCAGTGCAGAACAATCCAGAGCACAGCGAGGGCTTTAGAAAGCCATGGCTGTGCAATAAAGTTTCACTAGGACAAGGAGAACCCGGAAAATCGTCCACAGGTCTAAGTAGAGACCAGAAGCTTGGATGAGCTAATGCTTGGATGCTTCTAAATTCCTACCAAGTGACTGTTCTGCTTATTCTGGAGTAAATGGAGCAAAAGAGAGTTCACCATCCTCTGAGATAAGCCTATCACATCTTTGAAGAGTTCTGCTAAACAACTTGTCACACCGAGCTAAAAAGTAGACTTCTATTTTTATGTCATTGGGTTTATGCCTGGAAGCCATGATAGAAATCTCTTTACTTTAAAACATTTATTTATTTGAAAAGGGGTCTTATGTATCCCAAGCTGGCCTCAAATTTCCAAAATAGCCAAGAATGATCCTGAACTTCTGATCCTCTTGCCTCTACTTCCTAAGGGCTGGGACCACTGGGAACTGAACCCAGGAATCCATGCACACTAGGGAAGCACACCGTCAGCTGGACTTTATCTCTAGCCTCATTTCCCTTTCGTGGCTAGGTATCTCTATTCCTTTATTTCTTACTGGATGTAGCCTCCTCTACATCACAGCTATTAGTTCCTCTAAATGACCTCGGGATCATCCCTTTGCAGCACCCCTAGCCATTTTAGTAGCCAAATGACCTGCATTAATTAGGAAGGTCTGTGATAAAAGTTCACGCTTCTGATTTCTGACCCCAGTGGCTCTCCAAAGAGCTATGGCTCAGTCAGAGCTCATGAGTCACTGGGAGAGCTCGTCACAGACTGCTGAGGTCCTCCCCACCTTCTGATTATTAACTCTGAGAGAGGCCTGAAACATGTATTTCTAACAAGTTCCTAGATGGTGTTAAATGCCATTGACTCAGAGACCACACTTAGAATCACTGGCCTTGGGAAATGGCTCTGATTCAGGCATCATGAGCACCATTTGAATGGTCATTAAGTCCGGAGCTAGAGTCGCTTCTGAACCAGCCTATAAATCTGGGCAGAGCTCTGGAATCCGCATATTTAGCAGACACCCACGTGATTCTTTGGATACCATTGCTTGTGAAGACTGAAATATCCCTTAATGACTCTCTGTATTTTCTTTATTTTTTTTAACTGTCTGTATTTTCAAATGTAACTTTACTTTAGAAAATACAACTTATTTTCCTCTTGATGTTCATATTTTTATTTTTACATGTTTTGGTTGCAATTTTTTGTAAATAGGAAACATTTTATTGATATAGAATTCATATACCACACAATCTTCCCACTTAAAGAATACAATTCATTTTTCAATATTTAGAGGCATACAATCTCCCCTCCCCCCCAAAAAACCCTTAAGAAGCTATTCTCTAGCATGGCAGTGGTGCATGCCTTTAATCCCAGCACTTGGGAGGCAGAGGCAGGCAATCTTTGAGTTCGAGGCCAGCCTGGTCTACAGAGAGCAGAGTTCCAGTATAGCTAGGGCTACACAGTGAAACGCTGTCTCGAAAAACAAAATAAATAAATAAAACACCATAAATAAATGTTGTTAAGAGTGATAAAACAAACGCACCATATACATTACTAGGTCTGTGTCATATGCAAATACACACATGTTAAAGGCAAAGTTATCACTACCTTTGCTTTGTGAAGATCAACTCCATACATAGACAACTTTTTGGCATTCTCAAGAAACTCCAAGTCGGCCTGAGCTGGAGTCATGGACCTTTGGCAGAATAAAAACAGAAAATTCAGTGACACAGCAGAAGCATTTACAGCAATAACAACTGAATATTCACTGTGCTTTATATGAACACACACACCCCAACATGTATGTATAGAATTGGGCCCTCAAAGCAATTATGGAATGAGAATCTCCTCACTATGTGAGTCTAAAGAATTTAAATATGTCTTAGAAAACAAAAGTTTAAAAAAACCGGATGTCACCCAAAAGCTATCGGAAAGGCAAACTCTTATTCAACTATCTGCTTCAAGCTCCCCCATCCATCTGGAGCTCTGCGCCCCTCTCCTCAGCCTTTTTCTGTGTCACACATGAATTCCTCCTACTATTTTTTTTTTAACCAAGGAGATGACCAAATTAAATCCCCAGTAAAATTTACAAGATCCTCTTAGCTACCCTTTTCTCTCTATACCCTGAATTGAGTTATTATGGAAATTAAACCGGAGGGCAAGCTAATGTTACTTAACTGGGACTCTTAATGGGGGCAGATTTGATGAAAAGAAATTTTCTGGTAACAGATGGTGTCCTGCCCACTAATCTCAACAAATAAGCTGGCTAATAGAAGCATCCTGAAAATGGGACTGTTTTCTGTTATTAAGATGTCTTCACTGCCAGCCATATAATGAGTTGAACTTGTTTGAAAACAATCAATCGCACTGTGTAAGCATTCACTGTGCCAGCCTCTCCTTCATAAGTTTTTTCTCGAAGGGTGTTCTTGAGCTGTTCTGTTAGCGTTGGAGACAAAGACATCACTCATAAGGCTGCGCACTCTGGACCAATTACGACAGCTCACAGGAACAGCAAGGCAGTCGCATCCCCAAGGAGAAACACTCGGGACAAGCAGCCTTCCCCTGAGACTGCTGGAGTCATCGAAGCAGCAGGGGCGTCTTCATTTAACCAGGAAAGGCCTCGCCAAACCCATCTGTCTTTTACTAAAAAGAACAAAGGGTTTCTTGGAGCCACCAAAGGGAGAAGAAAAAAAAAATTCACCCCAGCTTTCCTGAATAAATGTTTCAAAAGCTCTAAAGCGTCACACCTGACTCTATTAATTGACGGTGTAAACAAAGGGGGTGGGAATCTGTATGCAAGTTATTCAAACACCTCGGGCAACTTTTGTAATCGCATACAGCTTTCCGTGTAAGCGAGTGAGTCTCTTACACTCACTCAACAGTATAGTCTCAGCTATACTGTTGTTGTTGTCCCTATTATTACGTGTTGATAATGTCACCAGCAGATTAGAATTCAATAAGAGGCAGTAGGTTCAAGTCCTGTGGACTGTATTCCTGCCCTTAGAGTCATGCCTCATCTCCTTCAGTCCCCTCTATTAGGAAAGAATCATAATAATGTCTATTTGCACATCACAGGAATAAACAATGATTTTTTTTGATCTCTGGTAAACACATGAAATGTGATTATCAAAATCAAATGAGATTATGCTTGTGAAACTGCTCTGTAAACTAGAAACGTTTACTACCAACTGGAACATTAGTTTTCTAATAGTTCAATGGTCCATCTACATACAGATCATAAAAAAATAATTCGTAGCCAGGAGTGGTGGCACAGAACTGTAATTCCAGTACTTGGGAGATGGGGGCAGAAGGACAAGGTGTTTGAGTCAGCACAGGTTACGCGAGACCATCTCAACCCCTACCCTCACTCCCAAAACTTTTTTTTAAGAGAGAAAGAGCCAGAGGTGGTGGCACAGGTCTTTAATCCCAGCCTTAGGTAAACAGAGGCTGAAGGACTTCTTTGAATTCAAGATCAGCCTGGTTTATGTATTGAGTTTCAGGGAGGCAAGGCCACATAGTCAGGCTTTACCTCAAGAAAGATTTGGTGGGGGGAGGGTTAGATCATTTAAATTCACACACAAATTTTAAAACATTAAAGAAAACACACAACAGAAGCCTTCCTCTAGAGCTGGGGAGACGGGCTCACTGCTTGTGTGAGCATGAGGACCCGAGTTCAAACTCCCAGCACCCAGAGAAAAGGCCAGCAGTGTGTGCCTACAATCCCAGTGCTGAAGAGGCAGAGGCAGGAGGATGCCAGTCTTCCTGGTCAGTTAGTGAGCCAACCAGAGAGCTCCACCTTCGGTAAGGCTGACAGGAGCTGGCCGGCTGGTAAAGATTTGGCTCAGTTGGCTCAGTGTCTACCGTGCAAGCAGGAAATGCAGAGTGAGGTCAGATCCCGGCACCCATGTGAATAAAAGCAAAAATACCATCCACACCTATAACCCCGGCTGAGCGGGACAGAGGCGGGAGAAATGTTGGGGCTTGCTGACTGCCGGCCTCGTTAAAAGAACACGAGCTCCAGGTTAAGTGAGAGACCATATCTCCATGGCACAAAGTGGAAGAAAATGAAGGACACTTGATGCCTCCCCTGAGCTCTGCCTACACAGGCGCCTATGCATGCATATGTGCACATACACCACACACAAAAACATCTCACACGATAAGGTGGAGAACAACAGAGGAAGACATCGATGGTACCAGCCTCCAAAGACGCTTGCGTAGACATAAGTTATCTGCATACCCCCCCTCTCTCTGTCTGTCTGTCTCTCTCTCACACACACACAGTTTATTTTTTTCCCACTATATTCACCTTTCAACTCTAAGGGACATCAATTTGAATATACATATTCAAACTATGTATCCAGGTAAGTGTGCTTCAACACATGAGGAGGAGGTAAGTAGAGCTCTTTAAACTTTCATTCTTGAAACTACTGATATTTAAAGCTTGGTTGATGCTTTCTATGCTACTTTTAGATTTTGAAATAATTAAGGCTTTCTTTTCCAGTTTTTTGTTTTTTGTTTTGTTTTGTTTTAAATATAAAGTCTCACTATGTGCGTGCTGGGATTATAGGAATGTGCTACTATGCCCAGCTAAAAAATGTGATTCTTTTTTGTTTTGTTTTGCTTTCGAGACAGAGTTTCTCTGTGTATCCCGGATTGTCCTGAAACTTGTTCTGTAGACCATCAGATTGGCTTCAACCTCCAGAGATCCACCTGCCTCTGCCTCCCAAATGCTGGGATTCGAGGCATGCATCACCACCTCCCAGATCAGTTATGATTCTTTTCTAAGATTTATTATGGATACAATGTTCTGCGTGCATGTCTGCCTGCATGCCAGAAAAAGACATCAGATCTCATTATAGATGATTGTGAGTCACCACGTGGTTGCTGGGAATTCAACTGAGGACCTCTGGAAGAGCAGCCAGTGCTCTTAACCTCTGAGCCATCTCTCCAGTCCCCTCAATTATGATTCTTAAGTCATATATAATGCAAATGATTTTCCTCTACTCCATGGTAAATTCCCAACCTAATGACCCCAATATTCCTGAATACTTACATATGTACTTCCTGCAAATAAGGGCATCCTTTTTCCACAGTGTCAAAACCAGGAATTTAACACTGACACATAAAGCCATATAATCCCTAAACCCCATTCACCAAGTTCAGCCAGTTGTTACAGAATGATCCAGTTGTAGATCATGTATATCAAGTCTAATCTGGTAAAGATCTGACTCTTGAGCTTCAGGCAAGTGTTTCACAATGAGCTGTCTCTGGAGCCACGGGTCATGTTCCTTTAACAAGAATACCACAAAAATGGAGCTGTGCCTACACTGCATCCTACTAAGTATTCCTAATTTATCCCTTCACAGACGATGCCTACTCTGTCAATGATGTCTGCCAAGTATCTCTGAAATTCTTCTTTATCTCTTTGTAGCTGTTCAGTATTTTATGGGAATTTGACGTGGGATTCCCCTCTGTATGACCTTTAGCAGCAAAAAATTGCATGGTATCTTTAAGATCAGCCTTCCTGGTTCATGCTGGCAGAACGAACTCTGGCTTTTTCGGGAAGTCCTGTACTTAAATGGGGTCTGTGAGCAACGTGTTACAAATTGCTTAATGGTGACATAGACCAGCTGTGACCCTAGAGCCGGAGTGATGAGCAAGGCCCTCAGAGGCAGAACATGCCTCTGCCATGTTCACTGGGAGAAGCCAACAGAGAGGGCTACAGAGTTAGTCCTAGCCACGCCTACTTAGCATTAAATAAAAGGCACTCTTGGTCAAAAAATAATTATAGATACGCATATAATAAAGACAAATTCAGATAGAAAAGACTTCTAAATGGATCACAGTGCTAGATAAATGTATGTAGGCTTGAGAAAGAGAGGAAAAAGAATACAGACAGTTATAATATAAAAGAGTACAGACAGTCATAGATTAAGGGAATAAAGATAATAAAATAAATATTAAACTTGTAGAAAAAGTAATAGAGTAAGAAAAATAAGTCATGTAAAGATGAAATATATACAGAGAGTTTGGATTATGTATATTAATGTTTTCTTTGAATTTTTTTGACTACAGAGAGATATAAGATTCTGGAGGCTGCTAAGCTAAACCAACATATATATTTTAAAGGTATCTTGACTTGCAAAATTTGTGTATAAAAATATGTTTCTCTGGAAAAAAAGGTTCTACTTTTGTTTGCACAGAGAATGAGAACCTGTGGATTCCTTCCAGACTAATGCAGTTTGATAGACCAAGACATCCCCCCCCCAAAAAAAAGGTCTCTGTAAACCCTAAAATTACTTTGCCCAACAAAAATCAGGATGCAGTTTGGAAAGAACTATGCCCAAATTCCCAAATATTATTTACATTTAAAGGAGGATATGCTATAGAGATTTACATTGGTATGGATCTTGGTTTACTGATACAAATTTAAGGTCAATTTTGCTATATGTATATTTCTGCTCTTGATTAAGGCATTGTGCTTGCACAGCTCATTTAAAAATGTAATGTATAATTAAGAAATATAGGTTAATAGATAATCATCTATAATAGCCAAGATTGTAGTCATGTTAGTGAGGTTTTCTAGATGTATTGAGATATACTTCAGTTAGATATTCTTCAAACCTTTCAAAGACTAACAGAATACGGCATTTAAAATGTTTTAAGAACTTAGGACTTTTCATGACTATGAGA